AAAAAAAAAAAAAAAAAAAAAAAGGACATTTTAACATTCTTCTACAACATATCTCATTTTTTAAAAAAAAGGATGGTTCCTAGGCCAGGTATAGTAGCTCACGCCTGTAATCCCAGCACTTTAGGTGGCCCAGCCTGCTGCCTGGGCAACAGAGTAAGACTCCATCTCAAAAAACAAAGACAGTTCCTTATTTTTTAATTTTTTTTTGAGATGGAATTTTGCTCTCGTCCAGGCTGGAGTGCAATGGCACGATCTTGGCTCACTGCAACCTCTGCCTCCTGGGTTCAAGCAATTTCCTGTCTCAGCCTCCTGAGTAGCTGGGATTACAGGCATTCGCCATCACACACAGCTAATTTTGTATTTTTTAGTAGAGATGGGGTTTCTCCATGTGGTCAGGCTGGTCTCAAACTCCGGATCTCAGGTGATCCACCTGCCTCAGCCTCCCAAAATGCTGGGATTACAGGCATGAGCCACCCACTGTACCCGGCCACAACAGTTCTTTAAGGTGAATAAATAAAATTCACTGCATTTTACTGTGGAACAGTAAATGCTATTTCATGGATCAACTACTACGTTTGAAGTACATTTGGCCCTCCATATTTGTGGGTTCTATATCCGTAGATTCAACCAAGACTTTGGATGGAAAATGTATGGGGAAAAAAGAAGGATATGTTGTCTGCTGTACTGAACAAGTATACACTTTTTTTTGCTTGTCATTATTCCCTAAATAATGCAGTATAACAACCAATTGCATAGTATTTACATTGTATTAGGTGTTATAAGTAATCTAGAGATGATTTAAAGCATATGGGACTATGTGCATAGTTTACATGCAAATACTACACCGTTTTATATAAGGGACTTGAGCATCTGCAGATTTTGGTATTGAAGGGGTCCTGGAACCAATTTCCCATGGATATCAAGGGACAATTGTACTGCTTTAGGAGATAGTTTGCTGATTCTAGCCTGACCTTGAATTTCATCCACACAAAAGTGATTCTATTTCCCAAGAACAAGTGTTTATTTAAAAACAGGATTTATGGCTAATGCCCTTTTCGACCTTAGCCGACGTGCACCCAGGTGAATTAAAAAAATAAAATAAAAAATAAAAAAAACAGGATTTATAGGAACCTCCTGTTTCCCTATTAAGAAAAAAGAAAATACTACCAAACAGAAAATTCTATTAACCAGCAAGAAATATCAAAGAAAAACTTACGTGGTATAATCTCCAATGATATGGTGATTCTCATGTCATTGAACCATCCCCTGTTCTCAATATGGCAACAGTACAAGCCACTGTCAGACACAACTGTATTTTGTATAGTCAAAGAGACGTTCCTTTTTGAAAGGTCCCCCAATAGCTGATAGCGTGAGTTTTTCCAATAGTTGACGTGGGTTCCATTTGTCCAGACAATGCTATTTGTGCACAGCCAAGTACATCCACCTCTCTCCCAGCATGTGGATGTGACTGCTCCACAGCTGTAGCTGCAGGGTAGCGCGACAGAACGACCTGCCACTGCACCAACACTTAAGAAATTACAGTATCTGCAATGAAGAAAAGACAAACTGAGAACGAAGCCTCAGTATTTCCTCTCGGCTGGGCACCGCAGCTCATACCTGTAATCCCAGAACTTTGGGAGGCCAAGGTGGCAAATCAACTGAGGTCAGGAGTTCAAGAGCAGCCTGGCCAACATACTGAAACCTGGTCTCTACTAAAAAAATACAAAACTTAGCTGGGTGTGATGGTAGGTGCCTGTAACCCCAGCTACTTGGGACGCTGAGGTAGGGAGAATTGCATGAACCCAGGAGGTGGAGGTTGCAGTAAACTGAGATTGCGCCACTGTGCTCCTGCCTGGGCTGACAGAGCAAGACTATGTTCTCCGATGCAAAAAAAAAATCTTAATTT